CACGTCCCCGCACAGTCAGTCAGTCTAATATTCAGGTGTGATGGAAGCTCAATTGCAATATTGTCGTCTCTCACTCAGGCAGTAATGAGCTGCAGTATAAACCCTATGTTACATCTCTATCATCCACACAGAACTCCAAAAGCAGACACCTTCCACATGGAATCAACACAAAACGCCTGGTCTCAAGATGGTTTTGACTCCTCAAGAAGCACCAATTTTTCAGTGACTTCTCAGGTATGCTAACAAAGCTTCTGATTGGTTAGCACACCAAGTTCAGCCTAAGCTGGTCCAAGCTGTTATGTTTAAGACAGTACTGGCCTATTCAAGCGTTATTTATGAGGTTAGAAGCTCTATTTACATTCTTTCAGTAAGCTTTTAAAAAGGAAGAAACAGTTCTTTTAGTCACAGTGATGGGATTTTGAAGGATAAAAAATGTGTTCTATATATGTACTGAACACCTCCTCAGCAAAACTGTTGGTTGTTGGCTACATAATGCAACTTAGTGGAAGAACTGAATATTAAGCATTTGTTGTTGGCACTGGATCCAGACATAAACATTTAGATTTCAGTGTAGGTTCAGGAAACAGTCAAATAAATTATTCTAATTTCTTCATCATAGAAAATCTATGCCTCTTCAACTATCAACTACTACATCAGCTACTGTGTTCACTTATTTGTGTCCCTAGTTGAACAATATTTACATGGCTGCAAATATTACAAATCCAGTGAGTTTCTGCAGGAATACAATAGGTTAAATACTAATTGACAATATTCAAACTGATGCTAAAACAAAGCTCTGAGTGGTAACAGTAGAGCACATCTCATCAAAGCAGAAAAATGGCAGCATTCAACACCCCTCTGCAAATGAAAAATCTTGATATCTCAGATATGATAATAAATTGTCAGATTAAAAAAGCAAAACTCTTTGGCAAGAAACAAAAAATCCTCAACAAACTTACAATGCCCCAAGTTTGTCTGATTTATAATTCTGCACCTCTTCGGGGCAGAAAACACATTTCTAGGGTCGAAAACACAACTCAAGCATCTGATTGCACCCGTTTTGTCAACAACAGTGCAAATACAAGGATGTAGGCAGGACACTGATTGCATCTGTGATGAACAGGATGATAATGTATCTTGAATCTAGAGTATACTCACTGCATGATGAGTAGAAAATAGGCAATACTGATACAAGACAGACCATAACAGTCTCCCAATCTAAGAAAAGAGAGATTCAAGACCCTAAACAGCATCAGAGAGTCTTATTTTCTGCCATAGACCTCAGTGCCAACCATCGTCACTGAGAGAAGATTAAAGGGGACAAAAACCTTTTGACAAGAAGGGAGCAGGAAAACACTTTTAGGAGCTCTTTGGAAAACACTGAAAAAAAGAATGGGTTTTGGTCTGGTGACACTACAGCTCACAGTTTCACATACACAATGTGATCTAATGCAAATAGACTTTCAAAGTATATCAGCATCCATGCCAGTCTTAAAGAAGCAGCCTTCAAATTAACATTTAGATGGAAGTGACATTTCAGGACCTCACAAGTCAGGGATCAGGGAGGAGTGGGTGGAATAAAAAAAATGCACCCATCAAAGTCATTTTGCATGCCCCAAGGAGAAGTATAAAGTGGACTCTAAATTAAATCCCCAAGATTAGATTAGAGCCCATTAACTCAATTATTGACAGGTGTTTCTTACGATCTACTATGGAGAGGCCTTGAATCGTCTAGATCTACTTATTTTTGTCTTCATGTCGCCACAAGCAAAAGCAAACAGCAGGGCTGTTTTTCCTCTTACTGTGTTCACACATGCAAAATCCCCTTTGGACTTATTGGCCAGAGATTCCAAGCTGTGCTCCCAACCCCAGCCTGTATACAAATATAGATAAATCTGCACCCTGAATTTTCTCACACATCTTTGCAATCTCACTTTCTGGACTTCTCACCTTCGCACACTCTCCTTTTCTTTCTCCCTCCGGTCACTCATTCTTTCATAACATCTCCCCCATATGAGGGCTGTCACATCACTGTCCCCTCTCAACTACAGGGTGGAATTTACTTTATCTTCTCCCTCTCAGGCTGTGAAAGCCTGCACAAATGGATGATTGGCAACTCCATTTGAGACTAGAGAAGAATAACAGTGTGACTGTACTCCAGGCTCTATCTGCTGTTTTCCTCCACCGGATACAAAACTATACAGAAGAATTAATTTGTATTTTCATGTCCTCAGATGGACTTCCAAACAAACTGAACAGCTAGACTGTGTTTTCAGGCTTACATAGCTTTTGAGGCATTCTACAGTCTTACCAATGTTGGAGAGTTGTGAATTAAACAAAACATGATATGTCCACAAAGACACACATACAGGCAGAAAACACATTTTGAGTCTCAGTCTTTTTTAAATATCTCTTTCTATCTATGTATTCCACAGCAAGGTTATCTCAATCTTTTCAGCCTGTTGATTCAATAAGCGAGTACAAGAAAAGTGGGATCAATGGGCAGAATTATTGAATTAAACTGTTGGTAGGGGTGAAACCAGGGGAAATTATATATGAACAAAGATGCTGACAGCCTGCTCCTTACATACATGCTAATAAATTACATTATTACATTATTACAATATATTAATTACATACTTGCTAATAAATGCTTAAGAAACATCTGAGTAGGACAATGATGATGCCTAATGATATTAAATAACTTTTTTAAATATCTGACCAGTGCAAAGGAAGACTTAAATGTTTTCAAGTGGGAAGTCTAACTTGTCACACTGATAATGATCAACGTGACGCAAATCTTTCATGCATTTTTCACACACTCCTTCATTCGCATTCATATTAAATGATCTTAGCATGAAGCTGAGCTGTGTCTTTTTACTTTTGTCTTTTCTCATATTGATCGACCTATAGCCACCATGGGCTACCTGCTGTTAGTGAGCCAACCGTGAACATTTAAGATATAGGGAAAGACATTGTCCAATTACCTTCACAGCTGTCCGCAGATCTGAGGGGAGCTCACACATAGTGAGGGTGCAACAGCTTTCCCTGTGAGTGAGATGCCGGGAATGAATGACATCCAAATGCAATACAGAAGAGGATGTGTGTCATATTGTTAGGCAGTGCGCAGGGCTGTGACTACCTGTGATGTATAGCAGGATGTCCATCTAGCCCTGCAGTACATCCAACCCAATATCAATTTGCCTTTTTGTTGGATAAGAAACTTCCCCTGCCACGGCATGTTGTGGATAAACAGCCCCTGGCACTCTTTCCCTCTGCTCTCAGTCCAAAAACAGGGTCGCTTTGATTAGCAAGGGGGATAAAAAACACTCGTTAATAATGTAAAAATGCAATTAACGACTTCCCTACTTCTGTCAGATCTCCCACCCCGAACCCCTGCACTGCTGCAATACCCCCCACACTACTACATACAGGAACAGGACAAATATGGAAATAGGAAGTCATTACTAAAACATAGCTGTGTTAACCTTTTGTGAAATGCACTATTTGGATTCTTGCCTGGTGCTTTGTTGTTGATGGCATACCCTCTGATAGCAGGCCTCAGTCTCCAGAGGCCACAGGCATTTATATCTTCAGTAGTTCCGCCTGTCCGTTTTACAGCTATGATCTCAAACTTTGCTTTGCTGAAATATTCATGCTTGTTTGCATTCTGAACATGTGCAGAGACACCAACACGAGTGCAATTGCTTGTGTAATTGCAAGAAAAATGATAGGTTCGGTATGAGCACTAAATCAGACTTGTTTTCAGCTGCTGGTGATGTAGGGAAAATATTTTTTCATGATACACACAAATACCTTGTGGAGATTTACATCTAAATGTTAATCCCCAGCCTATGTTGAAGTTGTAGGTAATTATAAAGTATCTTTAGTACAATGCTAGACATAAATCTGTCAAACAATCTGTGCTTATACAAGTCACAAGAGTGACATTTCATCTCAGCACCTGTCAGAGCCGTTTAGGAGAGAATTTAGCAGCCATGAAAAGTGACCCTCTGAATCATGTGTTACTCATTGTGTCAATACTTGTATGAGTATCTGTCTGTCCAAACAACACATCTGGATTTTAGTCTGTCTGTCTCCTCAGTGGTTGATCTTGATTTGTGTTTCTCAAATCATATATTAAAGCGTTTTCTTTTGTACAATAAAAACTCACCACATATTAAGTAGAACATGCCAGGGTGGAAAAATTAAATTGTTATTCCATGAACTAAAACCTGCCCAGAGGTAGATGGACCAATGTTTGTTTTCATTTCACATTTTCTGTATGAATAGGTATTGGGCAGTCACTTACAAACACACAGCCGTGCAGCCTATCTAGTCACATACATCACAGCCATCTATAGTGACATGCAGAGGCAGCTGCTATCTATATAATTACTTCCTAAAAAGATTAGTATGTTGTATGACAGTGTTCATGTCTACTGGTCAATGGAGTGAAAAGACAACTAGAGGAGCATGTGAGCATGGTGGCAAAGAGATGGGTAAATGAGACATACTGTGTGTACTTTCAACACACAAGTTCAGGTTTTAACTCAAACAATAGATCAGCAAGGATTAAGAACATGTTATGTTTATTTATCCCGTTCTTAGCAAAGGCCAACTGAGGTTGGAGCCTAATCTTTAAGAAAAAAATCCCAAATATATTCAAGACTGGGCTCGCGTCCACGAACCTATGTCCTATTGACGTTGCCTGGACGTTTGTTGTTATTTCTTGTTGTTGTTTTTTTTATGATGAGAGTGCGTGCGTGTTTGGTGGGGGGCAACCACTCTCAGCAGCATCATGATCATCAATGAGTTGGCTACGTAGCCTTCAGCACTAGTGATGGCAGTGCGACACTGAAGCTTCATTTGCCCATCACTATTCAGCACAACGTGATAAAAGACACGATACTCCACCTACGCTCCAGTTGCTGATTGGCTTTACGCAGGTATCCAGCTATTATTTATTAGCACCGAGGGTGGACGCTTCATTTATCCTGAACGGATCTCACTGCAGGATCTATCCGTTCCCACTTTACTCTGCACCAGGGCGCACGCAGCAGACTCTTTTGCCAATTTATCTGCTCGACAGAAAACAGGTAAGGAGAAAAATACTGTACTTAAGTGCTTAAGTGAAATGTTTATATATATTCTATTTTCAATAGCTTTTCTGTCTCTTTTCTGTTGAAGAAGTGGCTTTAAGTGGGGATGGAGAGGAGACACTGGGGGACTGTGTGAAATCATTATAGTAGTGTCTTTTCTTTCTTTGTTGAATACATAAAAGATAATCAAAACAATGTTTACTAATTACGTTAAAAATAAGTCCCATGGACCATACCTCTGTAAATCTTACACCATGCGCTTTTACGCACCGGTTACGCAGCAGGTTTTGCGCTACAAGTACAATTAGAGCGCAGTACTTGATGAAAGGGCGATTTTCAGCGATGTTTTTGCCTTAAAGAAAACAACCTAATAAACAAGGGTAACTGTGAGTATTCTTGCACAGGTGGTGCTGAAAAAATGAGGAGAGGTCTGATGCTGGTGCTTCTGTTCCTCGTCATGAAACTTCGATACAGCCAGTCCAGATGCGAGGAGCCCGGATCGCGCAGATCAACTTCAGATGTAGGTTTCCTGGCGCGTAATGATCATGTGGATTTTCAAACCTTCAGACTGTTAACAGAAACTCATTATTTTTCCTTCTTTTCTTTTCCATAATTGCAGCAGAATTTAGGTTTAGACAACCTCAAGCGGAACATCCTGAAGAGGTATAGTGATTTGGATTATGACAGCTTTGTGGGTTTGATGGGCAGAAGGAATGTCGGTGAGTTCTCTTTATTGTAGTAATAACAATAACACTATTATTACTATAAACTGAAGATTAAAGCAAAATTGATTTTTTTTCTGGTACATTAATTTAGTTAATATATTTCTTTTTCAAATACTATTTAACAAAGCGTTTTTTTGTCTTTTTGATTTCATCAGATGCAAACGCTGTAGAGTCACCACAAAAAAGTAAGACCTTTGTGATTTGGTAATGATATAAAGTGGTTGCTTTTTTTAAGTTATTTTAAATTTCATGAAATAATATTAATAGAATAATGGTTCTCATTCTTTTATCAGGAGAAATGCATGACATCTTTGTTGGTCTTATGGGAAGGAGAAACTCAGAGCCTGGTGAGTGTGGAAATTCACAAAAGTCAAATATCCACAATAGCCCTATTGGCTTTTTTGGGGCATTCAGATTCATATCTTTTAGTTTTCTCTGGTGTTCATCATATTGACAATATATCTAGTAATGTCTACTCTCACAGATAATGGTCCCTGGAGGAGAGAGTATCCAGAGAGGAGAGGCATTTTTCTCAACAAGTGCAGGCTGAGGTGAGTGCCTCTTCTTTTTCATTCAGTAGATCCAACATTGAACAGTCTCCACTTGGAAAAAATAAAGTTAACACTTCACCTGAATAATAAAGTATAAAACCATATCAGACAGAGGAGGTTCTTAAGATTCCTTGCTGTTCAAGGTTTAAAGTCTTAAAAGCACTGCTGACATAAATGCCAATTTATATTATGTTTCTTCTGTACACTTTTTATTTTTAAAAAGTAGATCTATAGTTGGCTTTATTTTAATAGTGTATTAAATAATTGATTTTACACATTTAAAATGCATGAGTGTAGTATTAATACATGTATGATGTATTTTGTTGCAGGTTTCTTCAGGGGCTGTAGACATTCATATGGAACTCTCATCTGGCAACAATGACAGAAGATCACAAACAATGAACTAAATGTCTGACGACTAAATGATCTACCAGCTGGCTTATGAAAGTGACCATAAACTACACAGATTGTACTTGTTTTATCTGAAGACAAAACATAATTAGAAGTGACAGCTGATATTTTTCCTTATCATGTATTTCTTTTTCTTCAAAGTTCAAAATAAACATAATTTTTCTATACATAATTTATTCATTTAAAACATTGGTGCATTTTCCAAGAGCTGTTTGTGTGAGTCATGCTTCAAAGCTTGGCTCTAGTGCAGACAGTAATGTTCAATCACACCTGCTATAATGTTTACTGTTTACTTTACATTACATAAAATGACTTGGCAAGAGGGATTCATTGGAGTTTTGTATAATACTGTGTTCATCAAAAGCTACAGCGATCTCACACAGAAGCACAGGGGGTTTCAAGTACGCACTTCTCAGAGCATCTAACATCAATCAAAAGGTAAAAAGAAAATACATTTTCACAGCACAGTTGTTTCTTTTCTTACAGAAACGAAAATCATATCACTGCTGGCTGTGGATTTAGAGTCTGCATTAACTATTTAAATGCAAAGGATTCAAAGGGAAATTAAAAAAAACAAAAAAGTAATTCCAAAGTCATTTTGCATTTTGTTTCAGAAAGCCAATTTTTTTTTAAATAATTAAAATGGAACAGAAAAGAAAAACCATCAAAATCAGATTTAACACCAGAAAAGCAAAGAGGCCATAAATAAAAGAAGCTTAAGTTGTGACAAACACTGTCATGTGTTGCTGCTCTCCATTTCAAGAAAAATAAAAACAGAATTAAAAATGTTAAAAAAATCTTTCAATACATCTGCTACTGTATTATTGGCTTCGATCAAGTACTTGTAAAACACATTAAAATTATATTCTATGTGCCTCTTGCATCATTCCAAGCATACATATGTGACTGTGACATTAAAATGCTGCTTTAAATGATTATGTTCAATGTAAATAATCTAAACTAATTGCTTATCGTGGTTAAAAGATAACCATAAAGAGCTGCCACTGAATTATTGAGATTTTACCCACTCACACTGAGCTCTTACATTGTCATACTGACTAGAATATACTGTGATCAGATTAAGGAAGCCCTGTCAGAAGAAAAACATTAGTAGGCCAACATACTGGTTAATACAGCTCTCTGGCATAGTCATGCACAGACAAAACCAGCTAAAACACAGAATCAGCGGTGCCTGCCTTGTGTAACTGCAGTCCTGTTCTCAGTGACACCAGAGTTTAGATCGTCTTTCCCCCCTTTCTCTGACTCCGTCTCTGCTTTAGTTTGGTTTCCACTAACAAAGAAGGCTGAAGTTGTGTGAATCCTTCCATCTGTCACCTCTTGCACCCCTTTAAACTTCGCCGTCACGACTGTCTGAGAGAGTGGGCCGAGGCTCAGACTCTGGCGCAAGCGGGGCCGGTAGCGTGGCCTGTAGCCATACGCTCTCAGGTGATAGGTGTAGTACTCCAGTGTGTACATCAGCTCTGCTTCTACATAATGGAAAGATACTGCCAGGTCAGAGCAGCACTGTGGACCCTGGGGAAGAACAGCACACACACACATGCATATTTAAGATACAAGTTAGAAAAAATGATTTAAAAAGCCATTCATTACAGCGACATTATAACAAACTTTAAAGATGCTGCATGTAGAATTGAACAATTATGAGACATATAAACAAACAAAACCAACTGTCAAAAGGAGTGGCCGCCTCTATCATCCAACACACTGCAATCAAATCTTAGAGGTGTTACTGCACAAATGTACATCACTTTACAGAACAAAAGAGAAATTGATTGTTTGAAGTACAAAGAATAAGCCTCTGCCTGTTAAATAAAGAGAAATAACTGGGGAGAAAATCATGTAGGAATATTTTGTATGCAAACAATATTATGAGCAAATATGGTCTGGTCTCCATTTTACAAACTGGTAATCCCATTTTTGCGATTACTAATAAGTCATTGTAAAAAAAAATAAAAAATCTAAAAATTATCCCTTCTTCTATAAAAATGCTACATGTAACACCTCTCATGTGTTTTCATTTACAAATACTAAAACCAACAATATCTTAGTCTGTTCCTTCCAGTTTATGTAAAAAAAAAAAAAAGGACTATTTCCTAAAACAACTGGGGTCTCTTTTTAGAAAATGTTACTCAAACAGCAGTTAATGGTGAATTTGTTGGGGACTATTTTCAAGAATAAAGAAGCTCATCAGCCTTATCCTTAAGTTCTTTGGCCATATTGTCATATGTTGACAGTTCTGAAACCACAAATTTCCATTTTAACAGTCTGATAAAAAAAAAAAAAAATCCAATTACTTTGATATTAAAAGTGAATTTGTTTTCTTGTTTCCCTCTCAAAGACAGAAGACAAAGCAGCTCCACACACTGGCAGGCAGTGTTTGACAGGATCAGCAATGGAACTGTCTCATTTTAATTGCAAATTACAATAAATTAGTTTCATCATCAGCGACAAATTGACCAATTTTCCTTTTGTTGACAGGACATTGTCTCTGCTGCAATCATCTACTTTAAAATGAACTCATTTCTGTTTCGATTCACTCGTTCTATGCAGGGGTCAGGTACGGAATTTGAAAGTGCCAGATAATGACATATTCATTTATTTAGTTATTATCTCCGTGATGAGTCATTTATATCAACACCTACATTTTGTTTAATTCATTAAAAGCAAAATAAACAGAATACTGCACACGATTCACTTTCAGTAAGGAAATAGGTCCCTACTGTACATTTAATAATAAAAGAATAATTCTCTCTCTTGAGTTGCAGATGTACACTAATGTTATTAAAGGATTTAGAACAGGTTCACCCCCCTCAACAGCATGTCTTCCTAATCTGACTTGCCTCTTTCTAATAAGGCTAATCCACTCCACAGGATGTCTGTCTCACCAAGAAACCATAAACCACTTTGTGATTTTAGTAATGGTGCCATTTTAGGCACTTTTAGGCATTTTACCTTTATTGGACAGCTTACAGTGCAATTATATGGTATGCACCTTAATTCTTAAGCACGGGTATGATATATATGTTTTCTTTTAACAATTTTACCATACTGTAGTGCCATTTCACAACACTAGCTCATAAATAAAACAGAAGTGAAGGGACTTGCCTCAACAATAGGGTAGTAACAATAGCTCCAGTACCAGAAGCTCTTGGAGAACTTGCCAGTTAGATGGTGCTCTGGCACAAATGGGTGGAAGGTTTCTCGATGCAAAGTATCTCTAGAGTCCCCCGCCACAACACCCATCTTCTCCAAACACTGCCCCAGTGCTAAGTCCTCTACAGGGGTGGTGTGTGTGCAAACTTTGGTCCGAAAGCCTTCCACAAATCTTTTGAGGGCCTCTTTGCTAAGCACATAGCCTGCCCCTCCACTCATGTAGCCTTGCTTGGTGTAAGGCTTGAAGCGTTTGCCAAAGTAGATGGGCTCTTCAGGGGTGTGGTTGGACAGAATCCAGCGCAGGTTGTCCACCACCACGTAGGTGTCGTCGTCTGCTTTTAAGAACCAATCCGCTTCATTTGCATGGTGCTCGTAGACATAATGGAAGGCTCGAATGGTCTTCCAGTAGAGCTGGTCACGGCCCTCCTTAGTGCCCAGGCCCACAGTGGGGAAGTCTGGGTCCTCCACGGAGCTCATGAACACCACCACGTTGCAGTGACGACTCCAAGTGGCCCTGACATGGCGGGCTCTGCTCTGCAAGTTATATGGCCCTGTCATCACCCAACAGAGAACACGTACCTTCTGGTACAACACATCTGCCACCCGACTGTCCTCATCTAGAGGGACACAGCAAACAGTGCAATATATAACAATGTTAACTGGTGTGCAATTGAGCTAACCTTAAACAAGAGCACCACTTCTCCCTATCCAATCAGTTTGCTCCACATTTTTTATTTATTTTTTTATTTTTTATTTTTTTTTAGTTCCTTTCACTCCATTTTGGTACGTGAATGTTACAGATAAGTAAGAAAGACATCAAAGACAAGACAATGTATCTTCCAGTCTATTATCTTACCTACATACATAACATATATAAATATACACCGATCAGCCATTACATTATGACCACTGAATAATACTGATTATCTGGTTATCAAGGCACCTGTGGGTGGGATATATTTGGTAACGGGTGAACATTTTGTCCTCAGTTTGATGTGTTAGCGACTTTGATAAGGGCCAAATTGTGATAATTATGACTGGG